AAAAAAAAAAAAAAAAAAAGGAAGATAACTGGGAAGGAAAAGGATTTTCATGGCGCAGGCTGCAGAGCTAAGCAAGAAGACTGAAGGTTGCATCTCTGCTCTTACAGTCTCTAACTGTCTAGGTCCAGATAATGAGAGATTGTGTTGAGGATGCTGCTGCTGCTCCCCTGTTCACTGTGGAAGCCATCTCCAAATTAGCCATTACATATGGAAACTGGAGACCAGAATTTTAGAAAAAGGGATTAAGGCGTCTCATTTTGGGGGGGGTTCTCTCTTTATTTGTTTGGTTTTTCTTGTTTCTTTTCTCTCTTTTTTTTTTCTTTTTCCTTTTTCCTTTTTTTATATTTCAACCAGAATGTTTCCGATTTAAAAGGCAAGCCTCTTCCCGTGTGGTCTTTCTAATTTACACTCTTTTCCGTGGGCTTTCTTACCTCCCTTTTTTGATATCTATCTCTATACCCATTATATTATTAGTCGGAATTATTATTCTTTTATTTTATTAAACACACACACCCCAAGAATCAGAAGGCGGTTGGGTATTTGTATAATGAAGAATTATGGGGCTCTTTGACAGAGGTGTTCAGATGCTTTTAACCACCGTTGGTGCTTTCGCTGCCTTCAGCCTGATGACCATAGCTGTGGGGACCGACTACTGGCTTTACTCCAGAGGGGTTTGCAAGACTAAAACTGTCAGTGAGAACGAAACCAGCAAAAAGAACGAGGAAGTCATGACCCATTCTGGATTATGGAGAACCTGCTGCCTGGAAGGTATTTGATTCTGGACCTCCACACCCCCCCACCCCTTCCTCTGCCACCACCCCACGTTTCTGCCTCCTCCCCACAATAAATCCCTCCACATTCCACCATTTTCTCACTTCATTCTTTTCACTGTGGATTGAGAGTGGTGGGCTCAGTTACTCAGTTACAGTGGTGGGCACAGAGGCAAGAAGACAGGCAAAACATTCACTGTTCTGTTCCCATCTCCCTTCTTCTTTCCCACCCTCCCCCCTCCCACCTTCCCCAAAATTCACTTCCTCCCTCCAACTGGAATAATGTGTATGTTACAAAACCACCGAGAGATCCTTTCAAAAAGCCATTGTGCAGTCTGMCTGTCTTTAGCTTGTTTGTATTGCCTGGGTAAGCAATGCCAAAATACGGTGTTATTGCTGTGCTCCGGCTGCAACCAGAGAGCGAAATAATTGCTCTCTTTGCAAATGGCTTATTTGCAAAGACAAGACTGTGAGTGAGGGGCACTGTGGGGAGGAGGTGATTGGAAAGCACTTTGGATGCGATTGTTACACTTTCAAAAGAAAAAAAGAGAAAGGGAAGCAATCCTGTTATATCCAGAATGTCTCATACAGAATGATACTAGTCATCTCAAACAGAGTTCAGAGCATTTTGTAATGTCTGCGAGCAACCACATCTCACCGGGCTGGGTGCATAGCGATCTAGTTGGCCGCTGATTGGTTTGGTTTGAGGCTGGTATTTTTCCCCAGTTTGTTTGCTGTTGGGAGGGGGATTTAAAAAAAAAAAAAAAAAAAAAAAAAAAAAAAAAAGCAGCTTTATGGTAAAGGCTTAAAATAAACAGGTTTCTGAATGGAGAAATCAGCCTAAGTCTGATGTGGTGAAACTGAACAGCAACTCAGTGACATGTCTGATGACAGAAGAGACACCACTGCAGCCAACTTCTGTAATCAGACGTTCTTAAGGGAGGCGGAAGGAAAAGAGGGGCCAGTGATTCGCTTTTTAATATGTGTTGCTCAGTACTGCTATTGGTGTACGTGTGGGCTGGGGAGGTGGTCTTCAGCCTGTTCTGGAGGGAGAGGGGCAACCGATGTAACTGCGTAATTTATGTTACACACGTAGTGAGAAGGACAGAGTGAGAGCACAGGAGCGCACATTACAGCCCATTGTGAAAGCCCTGTTTGTGAATCAGCTCCCAGCTGGACGGTGGGCTGCCGGGGGTTCATGAATATCCAGGGATAAGATCGGTGTTTGCTGGTGTCCACCGGAGCTGGGTGTGCCTGGAGCTTCCTGTCGGGAGAGAATGGCAAGTGGGTACCGCAGAACTGGTTTTCCTAGCCCAGCTCTGGGAGATGGAAGGCAGGGGGAAGGGGGAAATAAACTATCATGTTTTGATGTCTCTCACCAAAGCAAGCTAAAGCTGCAGTTTGGAAATGGTTGTGTCCAGGAAGAAGCATGAATTTCCCCCCAGTTCTTGGTGCAAACGGTTGAGTGATAGCTGGACATGTTTTGAATAGCTAAGTGACTTCATTGAGCGATGGTCTATTTGACGCATACTGCATTTAGTGCCCTTTGTCAACCCAAACTGCTGCCTTTTAACATATCCTGCAGAGGAGCTCTATGCTGAATACTATATGCTGTATCCACGCCAGAAAATCAATAGCAGTAAATTAATGGGGGATGTTTTAAACACACTTGCTCACACACACGCACAGATTCCCCACATACAGATAAATACATAGAGGTATATATTAATAAAAAATGAAAAGCCTTTCACACAGATATTCATTACAATCAGGGAAGGAGACATCTCCTTAATTAAAAATTAATGAGAGAGAGAGAGAAGGGCAAAAAAAAAAAAGACAGCCCAAATGCAAAGGCATGCGGAGAGGAGAGGCTGCAGGGATGAACTCCCTTCCTGAGCCATGTCCCTAGGCTGGAGGGCGGAGRGAGGCTAGGGTGGAGATAGGAGGTATGAGGATCCCAGCCAGGAGAGGCAGTGAATTCAGATCATGTCTATCTGCCCACAGAGCTGTACCCAGAGGGACGCGGTCTGAGGGGGAGGAGGAAGGGGCGGGTGAGGTTTGTCAGATTGGAGGAGCTCGGGGCTCCTTCTCCTTTACATCTGACAGGACCCCACAGGCACTGTTGAGAAGTGGCTTGCATGGCAAAAGAATGTGCCAGGATGCTTCCGATTAAAAGCTCTGAAGTGCCCCCAGCCCCCACAATGTAGTGCTGCCAGCCCAGGCCCCCTGCCTCCCGTGCTGGTGCTCTCCAGTGGGCTAAAACCATAGCCCTGCATGAAGGGTGGGAAATGCAGCCTGAGCACAGCCTGCATGGACCTGGTGGGGTGCTCTCAGTCTCCCCACACATGTGAGGGTTGGTCTGGCCCAATCTCCCAGCTCTTTAATGCTGGGCAGCAGCAGAAAACAGGGTAGGAGGGTGCAATGCACCACAGGGGAGCTAAATCCAGCTCTGAGTCCCTTGCCTGAGGGCACAGGTTGCACTAGAACTTGATAAAGATTTGGCTGCAAGAGSACCTAAGCAGAAGGCAAAACCATCCCCATGAGATCATGCTGAGCAGGGCCTGGGCATGGGCTTGCCTCCTGGGCAGCCCAGCACAGGTTTGGCACTGGTGCTGCTGGGATGCCTCTGCTTGGCTTCCTGCAGCCCCACAGCCTGCATGGGGTGGTGGCTGACAGTCTCTTGGTCCCAGGACAGCATAGCCAAATATCCCCACCAGCCCTTGGATGGCAGGGCTCTTACTGTCATGTCTGATCACCTTAGGGGGTGATCTTTATCTTCTTTGTTGTCAGAAAGAATAAGAATGGTATCCCTGGTTGATTTGCATTCGCTAGTGAAAGCTGCCTGGTGGTGAACAGGAGAGAGAAGGATGCAGCAAAGGCTCCTTTCCCCTATGATACATAGATGGGGTAGTTTTGTGGATGGAAAGGCTTAGTCCCAGGAGGCTCTAAAAAGGACAAAAACCATGGATCTGTTCACAGCCTGCCCACGGTGTGGCAGAAGCACCTGACAAAGGATGTGGGACAGACACTCTTCTGCCTGGGGTGGATGTCAGGGCAGGTCTATAGGGTGAGGGGAGGTAGTGAAGAGGAGGGCAGGAGGCTTTGTAACAAGAAAATAATCAAAGAAGGAGTTCAAACTGCCATCTGCTACTGGTAGGAAGCCTCTGATGATGGTGCCTTCATTTCTGGAAATGTGGAGGAATGCTGGCATTAGTCAACACCGTAAGCTGTCAGAGAGGGTGGACACCTCATGTTCTAGTTATCGTGCTAAATTGCCTTTTCTCTTCTTGGCCAAGAGATCCAGTAGCAAAAATGAATGTGAGCACTTATCTTAGGCTGTATGCACAGCTCTGTTGTCGTCAGAATTGCAAGCTCCTCTTGGAGAATTTGGTCCCCAGGCTTTCAATTTTTGGATTCCCCTCTCTTCAGTCATTCTATTCCCTACAATGGACTTTCAGTCAGCATTTTCAAAAAAGATTACTTCAAAGAAGAGTGTTATTTGGAAGTTCCTCCTCTAATGGGGTTTCTTTTCCCCTTTTCTTGTGCCCTGCAGGGCACCCCTATTCCATGCTGAGACTCAAGCAGACAGGTGGTGTCAATTCACATTACTGCAGATCATGCTTCTGATAGTTTTCCTAATCTTCCCTAAGATGATTCTCTCAGACTTTGGGATTGCCCAAATATGTCTCTGGGCTATTCAAAAGTCTCTGGCCTCCAAGAGAAATGTTTTTTTCTCAACCCTTTAACTATATAGGCACGAAACGCACACAAACACCAAGCAATTGAGATCTGCAAGCTCATGCCCTACATGGATGCTGCACCTCTTACAACTTTGAAACAGCTGCAGATCTTCCAGTTTAATTCCTTCTTGGCACCAAATGTTTTAAAACCACTTTTTATTATGAGTGATGCCTTGTCTAATTCCTTCATTAGCTCCTGTAGATCTCCTACAGGAATCTCAAAAAGTGAGGGACGATGACTTATCAGGGTCTTATGAAGGAAGAAAATGAAATGCATTTTATAATCTGTAGGTTATTGGTTTTGTCATGTTATTATTATTAGGAAACTGATAGATCTGGGAGGCTTTTATACTGAGAAGGCGGGAGAGAAGAGTCCAGGGCAGGCAGGCATGAGTGATGTGCATGGGGTTAGACATCCTTGTAGTTCTGACTGGTGTGAAGGCAGGTAATTGAATGGATGTTGGTGGAGAAAATAATTTCTGCCTAGAGACCCTTCCCAAGGAGAATTAATGAGCTGATCTGTTCCCTTTCCAGCTTGTTATATCTGAACAGTGCATGAGAGCTAAGTGCAGATTCAGTGTTTGCAAAAATGAAGAGCTGACAGCAAAGTGAGGCAGGGCACAGGCAGTGGACAAGCTTCTGCCAGASGATTCTGGTGCTGCGTTGCTTCCACTCACTGCCTTCTCCCACTGCGGTTTGTTTCTGGTGCACCTCTTTTCTTCCACATCCATCTTATGAGTAGGGTTTTTTCCCTATTTTCCCTTTCACTTTTCACAATTTTCTTTCTTTCAGCCCTTGTTTCTGTCAGCGTCCCTAGTCTTGCTCTGCAGAATTGTCTGCCGTCCTACTTCCAAGGATCCACAAATCTACCAGGGTCCATTCCTCTCATCCTTGCTAACCTAATCCAGGGCCTTTTCTGAAAATTCAGTGGTCACGGCAGTAGATTAAGTCAGGGTCTCCATGTCTTCACAGTTCAGGACCAGGAGCATCCTGGTCCAGCAATGAGATGCAGCAGGAGGAAATGACCCGGCACAGAGCTGATTGCTGCTGGCATTGCATCTGCAGGGGAAAAGCGGGATTTGGAGCTGGTCAGGCCTTGGGTGAAGAGGAAGACAAGGATTTTAAAAAGTGGGGTGGCAGATGGTGAGGAAGAATTACTCAGGATCCCAGACTTGGGTGGGTTTGGTTCTCCTCTCCGCTTAAATTCACACCTGACTGAAGTCACTGAGAAGGCAGGGATTTGAGGGGCTGAGACCTG